CATGTATTCGCATAATTTTTTTGATTAGGCTCCACTCGCAGCCGAAGAAAACATTATTTATCGTTGACACGTCCAGAAAGTGAACTTTTTCGTTATTTCATTTGTGCTTTCGCTATATAACATTTAGTAACATTTTATTATATACGATTTGACAGCTCTATTCAAGGGCTACAAAACCATATTGTTAGAAAACTTCTCTCACCATTTATATTCTAAAAAAGAATATGAAATTTGATAAAGGATGTCATAGATAGGATGACTTTTAGTATTTTCAATGTATCTTTTGTAAATTTAATGGCTATAAAATCTTTTGTGCATCATTTTTTATATGCAACAGAACGAAATTAAAGTTAAACAGTGCCCAACGAGTTGTTAGAGGGGTACTTCGGGTGCTCGGAAATATGCTTTCGACGGGCCTTCGCTGAGGACTCGAGCCCTCGGAAAATGGCAGTTCGGACCCTCGATACAAGTTTTCAAGGGATATTTCCGAGCCCTCGTCGAATTTCGGGGACTTTTGAGCCCTCGTCGCATCCTCGAGAGAGCGAGGGCTCGAAAGTCACAAACATATCTATTCGAGGGCTCGCTACCTATTTGAAATCGGAGGGCTCGAAATCGATACCCCACGAAAGCTTATATAGAAGTGCCATTTTCCTAGGGGTCGAGCCCTCGACGAAGGCCGATTTTCGAGTGCCACACCCCTCTGCATGAGTGTGGAAATAAATTTATTTTGTTTATTTCCACACCATTAATCGCACACTATGGAAAACTAGCAGAAAAATGGGGATCAATCACCATTTTGAGTCAAAATCAAGATTAATCGGCAAAAGTTAGGCGATTTTGATGACATGAGTCAGCTATGTCCGAGAGATTCAGAGCTACCGTTAAAACGATTATTGATTAATGGTGAGAGAAGCTTTCTAATAATATGGTTTTGTAGCCCTTGAATAGAGCTGTCGAATCATATATAATAAAATGTTACCTAATGTTATATAGCGAAAGCACAAATGAAATAATGAAAAAGTTCACT